CTCGGGTTCCCGTAGAAAGAGGGGAACATCTGGATTATGCTTTATTTAATCTCATACTGCAAGGCTTGGGTATCTGGCAACTGTATACAGGATGAAGGGTTATACTGGGTCGAAGTGAAATACTCCTTCAGCATTTTGGGTTGTTCATCATCGATCCCGGCCATTTGCTTGTGTTGCTAGTGATGGAGGTATCTCTTTATCTCAAGTATGGGTTCTACTATTTCTCTCCTCAGAGATCTCCTTCTCAACATACGACTCAAAAGTCCCTTTTTCTTCTTTCTTTAAATTTGAAATTTTAATTTTGAATTTCAATTTCAAATTTAGATTTTGAAATTTAAATTCTAAAATTTAAACTCAAATTTGAATTTTTTTAATTTTTTTTTTGTTTTTTATTTGAAATTTGAAATTTAAATTCAAATTTGAATTTTAAATTTTTTTTATAAAAAAATGCAACCATTTCACACATGACCTAGGGGCTAACCTATGGTTTCCTAAACTAGTGATTCAACCAATGTGAATCCTCTTAGGTTCACTTGGAATTACACCACTTCCTTTGGTTAGTCAAGTAAGAGGTGGGGATGCGGGAGGCTTCCCTTGCTCTCGCAAGGACCTAATTAAGTAACCACAAAACCCGCTTAGGCTTAGCCGGTTAACCTCTTTCCTTAGACACCAACCACCAGTTATGGAAAGTAATTACAAGCTTATCTAAAATTCAGCACACTTTTGAACCAAATGTGGCCTCCTCCTAAAGGATCTTGCTATCCAAATTTTAAATTAAGGTTTAGGGTGAACCGCACGTGAAAGGGTGGTGATTTTTGGGCCAAGGAAGAGTGATGAAATCCCCACCTTATCTTATTTAAATTGGATTGCCTTTAAATGGATTAACGAAAAAACACAATAAACAAAATAAATGCAACTAATTACAATGCATGAACATTTATCTTTAATATGCAATTCAGCAGTGAAACCCTAACACATTAACAACTAACAAGATGATTTCAGCAATTAAATAATCCTTTATGATGCATGCTCTAGAGCATATCAAACCCTAAATGCTGGAATGCAAATGCAAAAAAATTTAAAATATTAATTTTTTTGAAATTCGAAATACGAAATTTAAATTTTGAAATTTAAATTCAAATTCAAATTCAAATTCAAATTCAGATTCAAATTCAAATTCAAATTCAAATTTTGAAATATAAACTCAAATTCAAAATTTTGAATAATTTCTTAATTAACAATTAATTTCTCAATTAAATAACTAATTAATTAAAGGGGCAATTAAGTAAAGCATCAAATAATCACAAAAAACAGAAAAATAAAGGAAATAATTTTGCAAAAAATTAATACTACAGAAATGAAGATTAAGAAGGGAGTTCACTACTCTAAAGATTAAACAGAAAATAAAAAAAAATACGAGTATGTATCAATAAAAATCCAAGAAATGAAATGAGTTTCTAATCTGAAAATAAAGAAAAAACAAAACCTAACAATCCTAAACAGAAACCTAGTTCACTCAAGAAATTAAAACAAAGATAAAAACTAGGTCTAAGAAAAAAAATAACTCACACCTACTAATTCAGAACTTAAAAGAACACAGAAATTGATAAAAACAAAAAAGAAAAATAAAAAAGCAGTAACTAAGGAAACAATGCACATAGTACTAAAAGATAAAGATAGAAGAAACAAAAAGTTATAGGAGTGATTGATTCTAGAAACAAAAAATGAAAAACCCAATTCGAACCCAGAAATAAATAAATAAAATATATATCTAAGAATAAAACAAAAAAAAATCGAATCTATCACGAAATAAAAATAATTAACTAAGAATTCGAAAACACTACTTTACCAAAAAGAATTCGAAAATAAAAACAAAAAAAACAGGATTAAATTGGGACGACTACACCTGAATCGCAATCCCTATTTCTCTTATCTTCTCTTCTCTTTTCTTCAATAGTCCGGCAATGCTTCGGTACCCCACATTTTTCTATTACGTCCTGCAAAATCAAACAGAAACAATAATTAAAATTAGATTACAGATCAAGGAATCAAACGAAAATAAAAAAAATGAAATAGATCTAAACAAAGCAAATAAAAATTTTTTCTCCTTTGCTTCCCCGGCAACGGCGCCAAAAACTTGGTATGTTCGGAAGCGTGTCATTAACCACTTCGGAACACCAGTTTCAATATTTATAAATTTTCTAATTCTCAAAATAACTACAAAATGCAGTTAGTGGTGAGAAAGGGGTCGTATCCACAGGGAAGCAAGGGAAAAATTGTTATGCACTTCAATCGAGACAAAATACCAAGACTTGAGATTGTAGAAATACAACATTTAATTAAATGAACTAGAATCCATTAAAATAAAATTCTAACAATGCTGAAAGTAAAAATTGCAGAAAAATGAATAAACAACATAAATAAAAAAAACTAAATAAAAAAATTTGCAACTCAGTTAGAGGTAGCAGTCTCCGGATCTATCCTTTGACCCTCGAACTCCTCCAACTAGGCCTTCTATCTTACTTGGCCGAATTTTAGATCTGTAGAAAGGAAGACAAAAATTAAATTTGATAAAAATAAATTGTAGAAATAAAATAAAAACTGGAAATTTAAGAACGAAAAATAAAAACACGCGTAAAAAGTAAATCTAAAACTATGGGAAACTGGTTAGGATCCGTATCCAGAGGTGGCAATAGTGGCTAGGCGAAGTGCAAGCAGGAACCCTCCTCTTTCCTAAGCATTCTCCTCTTCCTCTACCATTGAACATCTCAAGAAACCTTACCCTTGTGAACTAGGTGAATTGACCAACCCCTTCTCCAGGGCCCTTAGGTCCTTTTTAAAGAGAAGGGTGGTCACAATTGGGATTAGAGAGAAAGAGGGGGGCGGCAGTTGGGTTTTGTCAGAAATATGGGTGCCCTAGGGTTAAGAATGGAGGGTTAGGATTGTTCTAAGGTGATCCTAAGGATGAGAAGAGAAGGAGAGGGCGTCCAATATTATGTATGGCCGAGATTTGGACTCCTAAGATTGGATGGTGGAGATTTAGGCACCTAGGGCTGAAAGGTGGAGATTAAAAGGAGTGAGTAGCGTCCTAGGGTTAGAATGCAAAAGAGAGGGCATCCTAGAATGGAGGGTGGAGATTAAAAGGAATGGAAGGTGAGGATTTAGCAGTTAGGGGCAGCTAGGGTTTGTTAAAGGTGAAAAGAATGAGTGGGGAGGCACCCTAGGGTTTGCTAAGGAGAGGGGAGTATACTAATACAGTAGGAGGGGCGCAATTCTAGGTTTAGTAGATAGGAGGCACCCTCCTGTGCTCAGTTTTTCACAGAAACACCCCCTCTCTTAGCTAGAATTCACACCAGCTTCTCAAAAATTGCATTTCTGCCCTGAAACTTCCCCAGTTTTCCCAAGATTTGCATAGTGACTCTCAGATGTCACAATATTGAATTTAACTGGGAAAATGGTACATTTTGACTATTCTAAGGTCTAAAATGATGTCCTTAAGGTATCAAAATACAGAGTTATCACGCCCCTACACACTTCGATTTCCATTCTTGGATCTGATCAAGAATAGTTCTTGCTGAAGAATCAGGGTTCTTGCTGAAGAACCATCCTGTTGATCCTGCCTCACCACAAGCTGTATCATCTTCAATGGAGGTGAGTTTTGGTCAACTCTTTGGGCGTGAACACCTACGTTGGAAGTTACTATTATTCCTTATCAGGTATTTCCCTACTTGCTTAATTTTGGTTTTCAAATCTGGTCCGGTTTGTTTCAAGAACGAACCATGAAAATGCAGTTTTTTAAATTAGGAAATAGGATTCCAGAATGGGAGAAAGAAATTTTTGAAATTTCACCCAGCCACTCTGCATGGCTCGGCTATCCATATAATGGATCTCCCATCCCTTCACGAATATGACACGCTATAAATCCCTACACCATCACCTGACGCCGTGCACTGAGTGTAGACCTCAGCCTGACACAAGGGGCTTCACACTCACATTGGTACAACTTTGTCAGCACCCGATTTTTGCTCGGTCCATTGCCAGAACCTCCAATTCACCCCAAACACTCGATCATACCCTTCTGACCTCTCCAAAACACCCAAATTTCACCCCGAAAGCCCTTAGATCCACCGTTAAACCTACCTAATACCTATCTGATTGCCCCGATCGACCCTCTCTTACACCTAAACCATTAGATCAGACACAACCATCAAACCCAGAACATCTCAAAACCCCTACCCATGAAATTTGAACTCAAGATTCCTTCGTTCATTCGTCCATCAAACAAAGATTCTATTTCGACCATTCTCGCACCCACAACCCATATCCACTTGATCCAAACCTAAACCAATCAAACTTTTCCAATCACCCTAGAATATCGAAAAACCCCTACATATGAAATTCCAGCCCAAAACACCTCAATTTACACTCAATCATACCAAGATTCTATTTCAAAGTTCTAGATTAATCGGATTACAAATCTGCCTGATCCGGGCCCAGTTGGCTCCATCTGATTTTACCAATCATCTTAGACTAACCAAAAACCCTACCCTAAGAAATTTCACCCAAAAGTGGCTTTATTTTCCCTTTCATCACACAAAGATTCTATTTCGAGACCCTAGATTAATTAAATCAAACCCTTTCCAGATCTGCCCAATCCGGGCTTAGTCAAGCCAATTTGACCCCACCAATCAACTCGGAATGTCCGAAAACCCTACCCTGTGAAATCTCAGCCTAAAACGCCCTCATTTACTCTTTCATCTAAAAAGATTTCGTTTCGATCAATTTCGTTGACCCATAGACACAAACCCCCTTTGTAGTCAGACCCATCTAACCCTCCATCTTTGACCCAAAATCTCAGCCACCCATATAGAACCCCGGTTCAACCCCCTTGAACTTGGTTTGACCCATTTTGTCGAAAATCACCAAAATGCCCATTTTCCCCAAAAATTATAAAAATGCCCCTTAGCCCTGATATAAAACATTAACCTATCTTCAAGAAAGAAGGGGGGCCGCTAATCCACTGTTCCTCTTCTTCCCCTGTTCAAACAAAGAAGCAGCGGCAGTAGAGTGGCGAACAGTGGCAACAAACCTCCCTCTTTCACTCTCTTAGACTTCTCCTCGTTTTTCTTCATCTTCTTCTTCCCGTATCTCCCCTTTCTTCTTCCTCTGTCCTATCACAGCCGCTGCAACCATTTGTAACGGCGATTTGAATCAACTAGCGTTGGCACCCCATCTCAATAACTCTTTCTCTCTCTCTCTCTCACACTCATTCGTCTTCTTCTTCTTCTTCTTCTTCTTCTTCTTCCTCAGACCACCCAACATCCATTATTCATCGTCCCCTTCCTCTCAAATCCGAACTGAAGCAGAGTAGTGGAGACCCCTCCTAGCTTCTTTCTTATTGCCTGCCTCTCTCCCACTCCTCCCTCACATCGTTTTCCCTTCTCCCTCTTCCCCCATTTTCTCCCTCCCTCTGTTTTGTCTCCGCCGCTGTAACGTCCAGTGGCGGTAGATCTGCCCGTCCCATCTCTAATCTCTCTCTCGCTTTCTCTCTCTACACATATATATTCTTCTCCTTCTTCTTCTATTTTTTTACCCAAAAAGGATACTTCACAGTCTTCCTTTCTTGAAACAACGGTGAACAGAGGCGGTGGCAACTTTTCAATTCGATTGAAGCAGATCCATGTCCGATCACAATCATTCATAGCTATCATCATTAGGATTATGGTGCCCTGTTCAAATCGCACTTCACTACTGATCTCTCAAGTTCAATTTCGGTCCCCGTCGTTGTTTCTAGACTCTCTGTCTGAAAGAGACAAAATCTTCCCTTTGCAGCTTCCAGGTTCAGGAAAAAACCCAACCAGGTAATTGAAATCTCTTAATGTTTCTTCTGTGCTTTATCCTTATTCTTATTTTTTTCTTTTTCTGTTATCTTGTTTCATTTTCCTATGCTTTGTGATGGCTTAATCGGAATCTCAGGAGGTTACCAGAGCTGGTGGTGAAATAATTGTTGAACCAATCTCTGTCGAATCCTCAATGTTAATCCCATTTCGTCATAGTCTTTTATTGGTATTCTAGATTTTATGATGTTCTGTTTTGATGAGTTTATAATTGAATGCGTAAATTTCTTATTGTCTTATTTGACTGAATGGATGGTTGTTTTTTTTTTTTCTCTTAAAATGAGAGACACCAAGTTTGTTTTGATTATTCGACATCAATGATACCGGGGTCTGAGGAGGACTGTTAATAGCAACACTTGGGTTAAGCAGGCAAAATAAACCAAAAAAAAAATTATAACAATAAATAAATATGATAATAAAAAAATAACAACCAAAAAGGAAAGAATAAAATAGGAGGCTAGAAATCTGTAATGGTGAGTCTTTATCACTGGTGCGGGATACTTAGTTTGATAGATTAGAAATATAAGAAAACAAAAAAAAAATACAAAAGATAAAAGAATAAATAAATAAATAAAATATAGGTAACAATGATTAAAAAAAGTTTACAAATAGGGTTTCATAAGAAAAAAAAACAAAATAAATGATTAATTAATTAATAAAAAAAATAGAAAAAGTAAGACAAATAAGAAAAAATAAAAAATATACATAAATAGAAAATAATGAAAATTGATAAAGTAGATTCCTTTTTGTATTGGCTTGTTTTGATGTTTGGTCAATATTATCATATTGGTTAGCACTTTTGTTACCCCATATGGGCCCCACCTATTGGACCCAAGAGAGGGGTGCCTAACCCCTTCCCTCTCCCATTCGAGTCTTACCTGGATTGGTTTAGTCGGTGCCTTGGGCTTTGGAGTCACCATTAAAACAAAGCATTTTAAAAATCATTCTCAGAGGTTTCATCACCTCCATTCCCTAATTTGATGGGCGGCACTCCATTTCTAGCCCAAATGGCAAGTGAGCCTATTTTTCGATGCTCACGGATTGGTGACTCCATTGGGAAGTTCTTGGACCATAGGTGGGGCCTGTTTGGCTTAATTGCCATTTTTGTATATATTGCATACTTTTGTGTTGTTTTCCTTCTATTAGAATAATAACTGCTTTCTTGATGTTTATTTAATAGTTTGTTATTGCTTTATGTTTGTTATTTCTTTATCTGCTCATGCACACTCTGTGCACATCATCTTGCATTTAGATTTAGCATCCCACCTTCCTATTAGGAAAGAATCTGATACACTTGGGCCATCTGGACTAGGAACTCAGTGAGGCCGGTGGAAAGCTCTCAACCAATCATGAACCTGAGAAGCCCATATGGGTGGAGGTTTGCAGATTGGTGACATCAACTATTGATCTAGGTGTCRCACTCCAACCTCATGCATCACATTCCACGTAATACACATGTGTTAGCTTAGTCAGCTAAGGTGCCGACCACCTCAACATTGCTTGTTTGCATGCCCCTTGTGGGACCCACATCAAATGATAACACAAAATAAAAAATATAAAAAAAGGATAAAAAAGGTCAAAACAAATAAAAAATCAAGAGTCAAACAAAGTAAAACATAAAAAAAAGAAAAAAAGTAAAAAAAAATTAAATACAAAAGGGGCAGTAAGGTTTAGTTAAACAGAAATATATGAAAATGAAAATTAAAATCCAAAAAATTAAAGAAGAGAAAGAGAAAAAATAAAATTAAGGAAAAGAGAAAAAATAAAATAACCAAAATTTCCAATAAAAAAGTAAAAAAAAAGTATAATAATAAGTCCAAGAAAATTCAAAGAGAGAAAACTAAAAGGGAAGTTTTTAAGTAGGAAAATTCAAAAGAAAAAAAATATATAAAAAATGTAAAGAAAAAGAAAATATGAAAAATCCAAAATGAAGTAAAGTGTCAAAAAATAAAATAAAAAGCAAAAAAAACTATCATAATTCAAAACAAAAGATTACAAATGTGTGAAATATTAAAAAAGTCAAATAAGAGATTTAAAATCAGCAAAAATAGAAACACAAAAGCAAAAAAAAAAGAGAGAGAGAGAGAAAGAAGAAAAAGAGAAAAAAAAATGAAAGGGAGAAAAAAAGAAATAAAATAAAAAAAAACATAAAAAAGAAACAAAAACAAATTTCTGAAAAATACAAAAATAAAGTGATGTGTTAGAAAAATGAAATAAAAAGAATCAAATAAGAAGTTCAAAAAATTCAGCAAAAGTAGAAGAAAAAGAAAAAGTAAAAGGAATAGAAATAAAAAAGAAGAAAAGAGAAAAACGAAGAAAGAAAAAGAAATAATAAATGAATAATAAACAAAAATCATGTAAATATGAGAAATTCTGAATATTTCTTTAGGGTAGTTAAAGAAAATAATTATAGAACAAATATATAAATAAATAACCAAGAATTAAAGATCTAAAAACAAGAAAAAAAAACAAAAACAAAAAGACAAAAAAAATTTAAAATAAATAAAAAAAACAAATATAATCAGCTCAGATTAATCAAATAGTAAAAAAATAATAAAAAAAGAGAGAGATAATAGATAAGTAATAACTAAGTTGTAAAATGTGGGATTTGTATATAGTGATAACATGAAACAAAAAAGAAAGAAAGAGAAAAAAGTAAAAAAAAAAGAAAAACAAAATAGAATGTCAAAAATTATTTTAATAAAAGTAAGACAAAAGTCCAAAATTAAATAAAAATGAAAACATACTGAAAGTCGATAGATAAAACACAAAATACAAAAAGAAAAAGGGAAAATAAAAAAAATAAGAAATAAAAATGCAAGAAAAATAAGAAAAGGAAAAATTTGAAATATAAAAAATACAAAAAAGGGGAAAATCAAAATACAAAAAAAAAAGAAAGCCAAAATTCAAAAGAAAGAAAAAAAGGAAAATAGAAAAAGGAGAAATAGGATGTGAGATAAAATTATAAAAACTAAAAAAACATCAATAAATTTATAAGGTAATAAGGTAATAATAAAAAGATATATAAATCAAAAAAAGAAAGAGGTCAAGTAAATAAATAAAAAAATATAAAGGAAAAAAAAGAAGAAGAGAAGAAAAGGACAAGGACTCAAAGAGAGGAAAATAATGAATAGGAGAATAAGAGAGATTCCCCATAATATAATGAACAATAATTTTCAAACAAGTTGGAATTAATATCAAGAGAAAATCTCATATAGTGCTTCAAGAAATTGAAAGAAAAAAATAATAAAAAGTAAAAAAAAAAAGAGAAGAGAGAAAAAGTGCAAAATGTAACTAATAAAAAATAATAAAATCAGAAAAAATCAGAAAAAAAGATGAAAAAAGAGAGCAGAAAATAACAAAGAAAGGTAATGTAAATAGGTTAAGTAAAATAACAAAGTTTCCCTTTGTATGCTTTGATGAAACATGTGTGCTAGTTGTTAATGATTGATTGCATTTTTTCTTAAAGTCAAAATTAAAAAAAAATAATAATATGGGTTTTTCCTCTCAAATTAGAGGTAATCAAATTAAACTCCTTAATGTAAATGTTTTAATCTTAATCAGGTTTTTCCTCAGTTTTTGCTTTGTTTTAGAAGCATTTCCCTAATTTTTCTGCATTTCACGATAGAGGTCCACTTCGTTTGCATCGTATTGCATTTTACATTTCCTTCAACTTAGTCGGCTATGAAGGCATTAGTAGCTTTTCTGGCCATAGAGCAATCTTGAGCCACCATCCTAAACTACTTCTCCTTATCATCCCTATTTTTCTCATTCCCATTCTAATGCAACTGGAATCTAATAAACCAACATCCATCATACTCGGCTCCTTAACACTCACTCTTCCATTAGTACCCTTGGATTCTTTAATTAGATAACCAGTCCATAGCAGCCTACCCACTTCGTAAGTGGTCAACCCACTCCCAACTTCATGCGTATTTCTTTATTTGCCCAAGTGTTCACCCCATCTAGTTTCGAACTAGGGGCAGGCTGGTTTTGCCGTTGTTTTCTTGATATTTTGTTGGCATTGCATGGTTTTCACATACATTTTGCATTGTACATATCCCTCCTTAGCGGCCATAGGTAAGACCTTCCACTACATAGCCCTTAGTAGTTTTCTCTTTCCCTTTTAGTTGTCCAATTTTTAATAAAAACCAAAATGAGTAAAAAAGAACAACAAAACATGCAGAAAAAAAAGAAAAAAGAAGAAAATTACCAATTGCATTTCTGAATCAAAGAGTTTCCTTAGGACCATGGCATCTAGTTCCAAGAAGGTTAAGACATCGGATTTGGAGTACATCATGTTATTAAGATCAAAGAATCCCAGGGAATCGTACATTGAGACAGGTGATCAACATTACCATTCAGTAAGCATAGCATTGCCACTGAGCATAGTACCCAAATGTGAAGATGTAGCTAAGTTGAAGAAAGATTTAAAGGAGTTAAAGCACATTCAGTCCTCTCCTGCACCAGATTTCAATAAATTGTGCTTATACCTAGGATTAGAATTGCCAAAATGTGTTAAATCCTAGAATTTGAGAAGTATGGTGGAAGAAGTTGTCCTAGGGTGCATTTGAACATATACTATGGAGAGATGTTTGAACTCGGGGCAGATGAGGGAGTCCTTGTTCAGCCTTTCCAATAGAGTTTGGAGGGTGAAGCACTAGCATGGTTTGCATCACTTGAGGTAGATAAGAAGAAGACATGGAATCAAGTGTCTACAACTTTTCTCTAGTGGTTTGATTATGGCATAGATTTGGCTCCAACAAGAGGGACATTAAAAGGCATGCAAAAGACACTCGAAGAAAGTTTTGCAGAATATGTGCACCAATGGAGATCTATTGTTGCTCAGTTGAAGACTCCCCATTCCTTTGGAAGAAATGATCGAATTGTATCTAAGGACTTTAGAGCCACCTTTCTCTACATTCTTGAAGTATCATGATTTTAAGTATTTTAAGGGCATAGTC